GGGAGCAGGTGCAGTGGCAGTGGCGTCACCAGGATTTCCCAGGACGTTTACGTGTGGCCGTGCATAACCCAGTCTTCTCGGGCTACCAAGGTGCGGCGGGGGGGGGGTCTGCCTGCAGGGCTGAGACGGCGGGGTTCGCGAGCAGCCCGACCGTCCCCAGCCCGTAGCCCAGCGACGGGTCCGCCCCCGGTACCGTCGACGCGAAGGAGCCTGTGATTGCTCCGTTTGCGCGCGCAAGCGCCGCTGCGACCGCGCCTTTATCAAATGCGGGCGTCTTATCCTTGGTCCGCTTGCGGCGCGGAGAGCGAGAGCGCGACGAGCGGCGCTCGTAGCGCGAGGACCGCCGCTCATCCTCGTACCGCCGGTCGCGCGTGTCAGAGCGCCGGTCGCGCCGGTCCCGGTCTGAGCGTGAGGAGCGACGGTCTCGGTCGCTGTCGCGGCGGTCACGCCTGTCGCGGTCACGCGATCGGTCGCGGTCGCGGTAGCTGGTGCGCTCGCGCGAGCGCGAGCGAGAGTACCGCCCCTCACCATCCTTGCGCTCACCAGCCTTGCGCGTCTTCTCTGGCGCATCGCCAACCGCTGCGTCAGGGGCGCTGGTCGCTGTCGTCGAATCGGTGGTGCCTGCCATGGTTTTGTGGAGCGAGAATCACCAGAAACACCCCGCGCGACCAGAGTGGTGCAGTGGCAAGCGCTCCTCGTTGCAGCAGCGGGGGCGGTCGCGGGCGTGCTTGGGAATTCTGCGGGTCAGAAGAAAAGAAAATTCCGTCGCGGCGGCAGTGGCGGCGGCGGAGGGAGGGAATCCAAATAGGTCCACTTTCTCTTTGACCTTGACCAAGGAGGTACCTCCACGTCCAGCGTGCGCGCACTAGGCCTCCCCAGCAGCCACGCCGCCGCGCCGCCGCTCCACTGCTCCCCCCGCGCGCCATGGCCGCCGCCACGCTTCTGCTCGCCGCGGGCAGCTCCGCCTTCGTATGGTGGGGCTCGGCGGGGCCCGCCACGCCCCCAGCGCCGCCGGAGCCGCCACCACCCCCCTCTCTGCCGCCACCCTCGCCGCCTCCGCCGCCTCCGCCTCCGCCTCCGCCTCCTCCGCCCCCTCCTCCCGAGCCATCGTCGCCGCCGCCCTCGCCGCCCTCGCCCTCGCCGCCTCCGCCGCTCCCTCCCGCGCCGCCGTCGCCTCCCGGGGCGCCGCACTCCGACCTCGAGCTCTCCATCGACCTGATCGACGTCTTTACGGACAGCAACCCGCAGCACTGGTTCGGTCTACGCGCCTGCGGCGCCTACTGCGGCGTGCGCTGGTGCGGCGGCGCCGACGTGCGCGAGAGGTACGAGGCGGGAGACGACTTTGCCTGCGACTTTAGCGTGCCGCCTCAGTTTTGCGAGGACGCCTGTTGCAGGCGCCTCCTCAACTCACCTCTCACCGCCTCCGCCCAGCTCCACACCTCCCACCACCGCTCTCCCTCTGCCGGCTCTGCTCTGTACCCTCTCTGCCGCTGCCGGCTGCCGTCTGTGGCCTCTGCTCTCTGCCCCCGCCGCTCGCCCGCTGCTCTCTGCCCCCGCCGCTCGCCCGCTGCTTGCCCGTTACCCGCCGCACTCGGCGAGTCCCGTCTCCGCCCGACGCAGGGCGCACGACGAGTGCTGCAGCTCCGACGACACCTCCTCCTGCAACCGCCAGATGCTCGCCTGCGACGCCGCCTGCGCCGCCGGGCACGCCTGGCAAGGCGATGCGCCTAGAAGCGGAATACCTCTCCACATCTCCCCATATCGCCCCATATCTCGGGCCTAGAAGCTGAATACGTGTTCCTGTCTCCCAACTAGCCCTCGAGGGCGCAACGTATTCCACTGCATTCGATCGTCTTCGGCCGCACTCACCTGCACTCACCGCCTCCGCCTCTCTTGTATTCACGCGGTGCTCTGAAGACGCTGCACAATGCCCCGCCTTCCCGCCCCGAGGCTGGCGTATTCGGAACGTAGGCGATGCGCCCGTCTGCGCTGCCGCCGCTCTCGCCATCGCGGCTGCCGACGGCGAGGGGCTGTGTTGCGGCTCTCCGTGCCCAGACAAGGAGTACAAGGAGTGGGGGGGGGAGGCGCCCGCCTCGCGGACCGGCGGCGTGCCCTTTCCTAGCCCTTTCCTGGAACCTTCCTGGAACCTTCCTGTAGGCGCCCACCTCGCGGACCGGCGGCGTGACCCTGCTGACGGACTACGCGGAGCAGCAGGTGCATGGGTATGCGACGGTGCACATCCCGCTCGGATGGATCCCCTTCCTCGCGCGCGCCGAGCCGGCGGCGGCGTCTGCGGGGGCGGGGGCGGCGCCGCCAGCAACGGCGATGGCGGGGGCGGTGGCGACGGTCGCCGCGGCGCTGCTGGTCGCCGGGCGGAGAATTGCGGCGGCGGGGGGAAGGAGTCTTGCTAGGAGTCTTGCGGGAAGGAGTCTTGCGGGAAGGAGGGCTCATCTGCGGATTGTGCAAGTGTGACTCAAAAAAATTAGTAAAGGCCCAAATAAAACAAAGTGGAAGTAGCCCTGTCATTTTGAGTGCGGCGTGGCGCAGAGGCGGAGCGGGCCCCCTGCCCCTCCCCCCTTCTCCAACCTGCAAAACCTCGGACGACGGCCGACGTGACCGTTGAGCCTCTGCCCTGCGCCCCCCCCCCCCCCCCTACACACACACACACACCGCCGCCGCGCGAGCGCCGCGCAGCAGGCGTGGCTCAGGGTGGGCCGGCCCGCGAGGGCCGGTCGTCCATCGCCATGTCCCGGGACGTCCAGAGCGTGGACATGTCCAGGGGGAAGCTGTGACTAAGGGCACCCCGTTCCTCTTTTCTCCGCACTCCCTCAGCTGAGGGCTGCCAACCTTTCTGATGACGTCGGCTGGGTCGGACAGGTAGATCCTCCCCAATCGCGAAGCTACCATGGCAGGGGGTCGAACAGGTACGAGACTTCGTCCGCCGCCGCAGTATACCGCGAGCCCCGCCCCGCTCAGCAGTACATTTAGTGCTGCCAGATCAGCAGCATCTCAACGAAGCGGACGCCGCGTGTTTTGCCGCCGCGCGCCACCGCCTCGCCGGTTGGCTCCGAGTTCGAAATCGCTCTTCGCGCGGCGACGCGGGCGCGCGTCGCGCGCATCTGCGCGCGTGCGCGCCCGCGACCGAAGACGAGCCGAGCAGAGCCAGAGGAGAGTAGACGTTGATGTTTTTGCCGCAGCGGCCGCGCCGCGAGCTCGCGTCTGTTTTGGCGCCGACGCAGCGCCGCGTCCCGCCGCGCGAGATGGCGCCCCGCCGCGGGGTTGCTTGGCGCCCCGCGCGTGGCCGCGATCAATCGCGCGCCAGCAGCGAGCGGTGCAGAGCGGCCACCATGCGACGCGCCGCGCTCGCTGTTTTGTTCGTTTTTCTAGTTTTCCTTTTCCTTGAGAGCGCCAACGTTGTTAATGACCCACCCTCATTCATACATGATGATATACGACTGATTTTATATGGTTACTAGAGATACTACAAAGGTTCGTGTATCGACTGACACGAAACGACGAACATTCTGGCCAACTCTGAAAAGAATCCCCTTTCCTCTCCTCCCTTGAAGCTGAAAGAAAGTATAGCACGGCTCTCTGTCACCACGGGCGCTTCAACAAGGCTGAGACTTCCCCTCCACACCCAGTGACGTGCGCGTCGACGAGTAGTGCAACATCTCTCGACCGCAGAGCTCGCCCGAACACCAACTCAAGGTCGCGGTCATTGAACTGACACGCGACGGAGGACGGAAACTTTCATTGAGTGCCGCCAACGCCGAACCAGTGCCAGGGAATGGCTGGAAACGCCTCCTCGAACCACGACGGAGCGAGCGGCGGCGGCGACGGAAGCGGCGACGGCGGCGAAAACGGAGGGGTCGGCGGGGGAAAGGGCAGCGCAGCGCAGTTGCCAGCCTTGGGGAGCGTACTGCACTCCATCATAGAGGCAGTACCCGTGCCAGCCATGGATTGGGCCATTTTTATGGGACTGGCGACCGTTGGATCATACCCTGCATTCTCAATCGTCCATTCCTTCCAATCGATCGTGTTGACGTAGCCCGCCTGGCACTCCTCGTAGGAAAATCCGCACTCGCAGCACTTGGAGGAGAGCTGCGAGAGATTGAGGGGGAGAGTAAGTTGGGGTGACGCTCTCGGCCATCTCGTAGTGTCTGCTCTCGGCCGCATCTCTCGCGGCCGCCTCTCGGGGACGGCCTCTGCCTCGGCTGCATCTCGGCTGCGTCTCGGCACAGACCTGCATCTGCACGAAGCACTTGTCCTCGATGCATGCCTCAACAGTCCCGTACTTCTTGAGGTCCCAAGTAGCGAAGGGACTTTCACAGTACTCTTTGGCGGTCTGCAGAAACCCCCCGCTCGCTTCCCAGGTTGGCGTACTGCCAGTGAGGCACTTTTGGAGGTCGAAGCCGAGCGGCCCACTGCCGCCGCCGTACGCAGCCCCCTAGCAAACCATGGCGAGTGAGTGCGTCGGCGCATATGAGTGGAGAGTGCGCGTGGCATATGTGTTGAAGGTACGGTCACTCTCGAGAACGCGCACCACCGCCTCTGGAAGGGGCATGAGGTAGGCGATGGTAACCAGGCAGTTAAAGATAAGTATGTCGACATCTTCGTCAGTCATTTTGTCTCGATCCGTGCACTCGCTCTTCAAGAAAAGTGCTGTGTCCTTTTCGCGAGCTGAAGCCGCAGGATCGGCATGGACTTCTGGCGGCGACGAGGCGTAAGAGGCAAAGGTCAGCAATGTGGCCAGAATGGCCACGGCACCGACCCCGCCAACCAGCCAGCGTCTATTGCGCGTTTTCTGCGCGGATATCATTCCCTGCGAAGTCCGCGTTCGTCCGTACTAGCTACCCGCCCTCGTTTTGCTTTTCGCGAACGAATCCTCTAAACGAGTCCGTCGCAAGCCCCAAACCGCGGAAAAAAGCAAAATACCCGCGCCCTCGCGCGGTTAGCGGCTGGCATCGCAAAACGCGCTACAGCCGCCGCACGCCCGCGAACGACACAACGACGTTGGTGTTTCCCAGAGAGTTCTCCATTTTGTATGCCATGGCACACGGAAAGACGGCCCCCGTGATGCCCGTCGCCTTGTGCGGGATCTCGACCTCGTCGACGTAGAAGGTAGCCTCGCCCGCATCCATGTCGACCACGATGCGGACATCCGAGGGGATGGGGAACTGCTGGTACGGTTGGTGGTTTGTCTCATCATCAAAATTCCCGGACGTCTCCCACTCGCTGTAGACGGTGCGCTCGAAGCGCCGGAGCCACCAAAGATTCTGCACGCCAAAACCGTGGGACCAGGGCTGAAGCTCAAATGCCTCAGAAGCTCCCTCCTTGATCAGTCCGAAGCCGCAGCGCGCATTATCGCCTCTCACCTCATCCTCCAGCAGCTTGAAGCGCACTTCGTAGCGCCCCGCGGCCAATGGCACGCTCAGACGCACCAAACCGTTCCGACTGCGTTCGTTGTCGTCGTCGTCATCATCGTCTTGCCGACTGAGGAACGTCAGCGTCTTGCCATCCACCGCCGCGATCGCACCTGGTGCTTCGATCACCCACTCGCCCCCTTGTGGAAGGCGAGGCAGGCTCCGCGCCGTCCCCTCCTTTGACAGCCCCTCGCGAAGCGCCTGCGCGAGCACCGTGAGTGCCGGGACATTCTTCATCAGCGGCTCTTGCTCGACGGTCTCGCGGACAAACTTCTGGTCCATCGCCGCGAAGCGGACGTGCTCCAGCAGCGCCGCCACCGCGCCCTCCTCGCGCGCAGACTCGGGCTGAGCGCGGAGCCAGCGCACGAGGGCCGAGAAGACAGCCTCCTCGCTGGCCTCGATGTCCTCGCTGCGCAGCAGCACGCCCATCATCTCGGGCGAGAGGCTGGCGCCGAGCGACACCTCCACAAAGTGCTTGAGCACGAAGGCGGTCGCCGCCGCCTCGAGCCGCACCAGCGCTGCGTCTGAGGCGAAGCTCCACGTCTCGACGCAGTTGGACACCGAGAGCCGCGCCTCCAGCGCCTCCGCGACGACGCCTTGCAGCGACGCGAGTTGAAGCCGCCCGGCCACTTCCAACAAGGTCTGCAGACCCGCCTCGTCGATCGAGCAGGAGCCCGTGTAGACGTATTCGAGCGCCGCCTCAAAGCAGGTGGCGCAAAGCTCCGGCAGCTCGAGCGCGGCGCTCTGCGAGTCGGCAAACGAGGCGGACCCACCGGAAAGCATCAGCACGCGGAAGTAGTCGGATGCCGCCGCGAGCACGCAGCGGTGCGCCAGAAAGGCGCGGCCATCGACCGTGACAGTGCAGTCGCAAAGCTGCTGCGCGCGGTACTGCTCAGCGAGAGCGCGGAGCGTGGGGTGGGAACCGTCCGGGTCGTTCAGCGGAACCAGGAGCGGACGCTCCCCGGCCGGCGTCAAGCCACCCCCGCGGCGCGCGCGTTTGCGAGCGGGCATGGAGCCTTGCGAAAAAAGAATTTATATTGGCGATTCAACGCTAAGCTGGGAAGAGACCGCCGCAAGCGGCGTGGCGTGAGGCGGTTGAGCATCCCTCCGGGGGCCCCTCTGCGCCGGGGAGGCGTTGTTGGAGGCTAGGCACACAAGCGTCCGTCGCCCTTTTCCAAACTCGGGGTCCACTCCGCGCTAGAGCCGTACGGCCTAGACGGCTACGCTCCGATCCGAATTCGGAGGGCCTAAAAGTTTAAGGTGTTGCTGCGCAAAAGGGGGAACTCCCTCGTCAGTCACACCTTATGCCACCGTGCTCCGTGGGGCGGGTGGGCGGTATCCGGTATCTCGGGGAGATAAAGCCGGTGGCAAGGCCAAGGCGCAAGGGGTCCCCGGCTGTGCCCTGTCCTCTCACTCGCTCCCCCGTCGGTTTGTCCCAGCTCCCCCACATCCCCGGTCTTGTCACGCCTCGCCGGGCGCAACGCGCCCAAGGTTTGCTAGCTGGAGCGAGAGCTCCGCGGTGGCCGCCTCGATCTCCTGCGGCGTCGCCCTCTTGCCAGAAGGGAGCGCCAGACGCGTTTGTGCCGCGTCCGTGATTCATTTTATGGCGTTGCCGTTTTACTCGCACTCCGTGTAAAACTTGGAGCGGGCGCGCGCAGAATGGAGGTCGAAGTTCTCGTCGCGACGGACGATGGCCCGCCTGCTGGCGAGCCCTGTGCTGTTGTTGAATGTACTGCAGTGGCGGCCGAGGATGTGGTGGAAGGCTGCATCATTCTGCCTCGCCGAGCCGTGCACGTTCAATTCAACGCACAGCAAGAGCAGGAACTGCGTGAGGAAGCGCTGCGTGCTGCAGAGGCTGAGAGCCTCGTCCTGGAGAAATCTGAGCGGTCATCTGGCTATGTTGGCGTCGTGCCCGTGCCTGCGAATAGCTTGGGGCACCATTTCACTGCGGTGCGAAGGCACGAACGCCTTGGTACATTCGTGACTGCTGAGGAGGCGGCGCTCGCATATGCGCGTGATGCCCGTGATAATCCATCGTTGCAAAAGAAGAGAGCAGAACAGCCACGCATGACCGCCGAGGAGGTCCTTCAAACAGCAAAGGATGAAGGACTGCAGTTGATTCGAACTGGCTCGAAAAGTGGCTTCAAGCATGTGGCTGGCAATGGAAAGTCCGGCGTCAAATTTCGCTTCGTCGCAGAAAGGCGACTTGACGGTGTGAACGTGAAGCTAGGCAGCTACCACTCGGCGGAGGAAGCTGCTCTCGCGTACGCTCGGGCTATCGGTCCGGAAGCGTCCAACGAGGAGGCTGCAGCCGCGGCCACGGCCACCACCGCAGCAATCGTCTCGCCGCCATCGATGCCAGGCGTGCCCCAAAGGTACGATCCGTCTCTGCGCCACCTTCCTCCGTCTACCCCCTTCACAGTAGATGAGGTTCTGAGGCATGCAGAGGCGGAGGGCATCAGCCTGTACCGCTCCGAGACCACCGCTACCGGATTCGAGGGCGTCCAAAAGGACAAGAGGCGGGTCACTCGCCACCGACCTTTCATGGCGTATCTCCACAAGCCAAAGCACAGGAACCTTGGCTCATTCGCCACTGCAGAGGAGGCTGCCTTGTGCTATGCGCGCGCGCGCCGCGCGCGCGACGCCGACCCCGGCGCGAAGTGAGCAAACACAAAACAAACACGACACCACATCCACATGGGCGGCTCCGCCGCGAGCTTCGCCGTTATTTACTCGGAGTACTTCGCTCTCTCCACGGCTCGGCGCTCCCGACGCGGAAGCCCATCCATTGTTGTAAACTTCTCAACTCTTTTCTCACCTTGAGCGACATGTCCACCCCGCCGCGCCGCTCGCGTCCCCTCGCCGGGCCTCCGCCACCAACCACCGCCTCTCCCTCGTCAGTCACACCTTATGCCACCGTGCTCCGTGGGGCGGGTGGGCGGTATCCGGTATCTCGGGGAGATAAAGCCGGTGGCAAGGCCAAGGCGCAAGGGGTCCTGTCCTCTCACTCGCTCCCCCGTCGGTTTGTCCCAGCTCCCCCACATCCCCGGTCTTGTCACGCCTCGCCGGGCGCAATGCGCCCAAGGTTTGCTAGCTGGAGCGAGAGCTCCGCGGTGGCCGCCTCGATCTCCTGCGGCGTCGCCCTCTTGCCAGAAGGGAGCGCCAGACGCGTCGGGTAGTCGACCTCCCGCTGCGGGGTCCAGCTCGTGCGCACCTTGACTGTCACCAGCGACGCCTCGCGCTCGGCGATGGAGGCGAGCACATCGGGGATGTCGGCGGCGGCGATCCAGTGGAGAGTGCGACGCTCGCTCTCCGCATGCGCTCGCAAGGCCGCGTCGAGCGCGTCGCCGTCCATCGCGGCGCAATCCGTCGACTCTCCTGAGGGGGAAAGTTCCGGGAAGGTTCCGGGAAGGTTCAAGGGAGGCTCGCAATGGCATATGCCGTTTCGAGTGCTCGCTGGGCATGAAGGATGTGTACTTGGCATCTAGGGAGAGAGCTGCCGGCGAGACCGACAAACGCGACGATGGCGCCCGGGGAGATCACGCCGCGGAGCGGGCTCGCATCACTTATGGAGTGAACCACGGGTGGCCTCACGCCTTGCTCGAATCGGACGCCCTGCTCACCCGCCGGCAGCGGCGCCACCTGCGGTGGGGCCCTCGAGAATGGCGCGTCTACACCGGGTGTGTGGGCAGGGGCTCGCGGTACCTGAAGCCGTGCGCCAGCCATCGACTCGAGGTGGGCTGCCGCGCGCACCCGCCGCCAACGCGTCGCCAGCACGGGGGCGAGCGGAGGGAAGGAAGCGGCAGGCGAAGCGGGCGCGACCACCCTCAGTGCCGCCTCGGCCGCGCCTGCCGACCTGCCAAGCGGCACTGCCGGCGCCTGCGCCATTGCCGGCTCCTCCGCCGCGGTCCGTCTGCCGCTGCTGCTGCCGCTTCTGCGGCGCGAGAAGGAGGGCGCCTTCTTGGCCTCCTCCACACCGGCCCACGCGCCAGGGTCGTCGAGCTGCACGCGGCGGACTGCGTTGCGTCGGTTGAAGGACAGCCGCCGGCTGAGCTGACCAAAGTCCCTCGCCAGCTGGGTCTTGACTGAGCACTGGCAGTTGGTGCGACCGCACTGGGAGCAGTAGGCGAGGTCGCGCGCCGACGCCTCGCTTTTTGGAATGGAGCAGCGCAGGTAGGTGCCGGCGCTGCCCGGGGGCGGAGGCGCGAGGAGGAGGAGGCCGGACGGCAAACGCACCTCTACCAGGAGCGGCGGCACCCACTCAGGAGGAACGAGGAACCTCCACCAGGCGCGATCCTCAGGAGGGACGCACGCAAAGCACGACGTCCTCTCAAAGGGCGCGGGAATGCCAGCGAGCGCCGCCGGGTCATCTGCAGCGGCCTTGCTCTCCACCGCACTCGCAATCCAACCGATCTGCGCCTCGAGGCTCTCGCCGACTCGGGAGATGCGCTTCGAACGCGCGTCGTTGCCGGGGAGGGTGAGGCGGCCCGAGGCGGCGCACACACGGCAGGCGTCCCAAAGGCAGATGCGGCAGCTGAAGAGAATGACGTCCGCCCCGAATGTCTCGCCACACAAATCGCATTTGTAGCCGGCGCGAGGTGGCACAAAGTCGGTGAGCGAATGACCCTCCTCTGGGCAGACCCACGACTGGGAGCCTCTCTCGTTCGCGCTGTCCATGGCGGCGCTCGTGTCTCGGAGCCTATGACGACCGTCGGAGTCCAGACAAGCGGGCGGTTTTTAGGGAGAAGAATAGTTAGAGGCTGCGCAGGCCTCCCCCGGTATTTTATTGCTGGTCGATACGAGTAGAGCCGCATTATATGAAAACCCCAGATCGGGTCGGACACCGTCCCACCGTCGCCTCGCTACAGACGTCACGCCCCCGCGCGCGGGGTGGCGCGAGAGCGGAGAGGGGAGCGGGCAGGAGAGAGAGAGAGAATTCTTGATACGAAACCACGACGACACACACCAGTCGACTCGCATCGGTTGCCTCCATGAACGGCGGAGCTATTCTCGCGTCCACACCACACCTGGCTCCAACGTGGACACGCCCATAGCTGGGGACACTACTAGGTCACGCATGGCATCAGAAGTTTTATCTCTGGGCCCCGAAAGGCATCTCTAGCAGCGTCGTTACGCATGCGCCCTCCCCTCCTGGGCGCATACGCCTCACGTCTCGACAGAGCGTAAGCTCTTGGCGTGTGACGAGACGAGTTCTTCGCCATTGCAGCGAGCAGCATGCACACCACTCGCCGCAGCAGCCGGATGCATCGCCGCAGCACTGTCTGCGCCGCAGTCCCGCACCCGTCGACGAAGCTCCCCCCGCGGAAAACCGCGCGTAGCGACGCCTTGACGATCGAGATGAGCGCGCTTGAAGCTCGCCCACCTACTGCCCCTGAGAGTTGGTTACCGAGTGGGATCAGCTCCCCCCCTTGGGATCGAAGCCGCCACACCTCGCACCCAACATCCCAGGCGGGATCAGAGAGAGACTCCGCACCGGACACCGCCCGGGCACAGACCCCCTACCCGTCGGACTACGCCTGGACCCCTCACAGAGCAGCCCACGCACAGGTCACGCATCGGCAGATTTGACACCTGGTTCAGGCGTAGACAGCACACACTGGTCACAGTTGCATAGCCCTGCCGGGGGGGACGAGTTCGCAAGGTTAATATTAAAGAATACAAAGTGGTGACAACCACTGAGTTCTCAGTGGACGACGAGCGTCGACTGAACAGAAGAGCGTCCCCGCGACGCCTCGGTGCCACCCACCGGGTGTGACCATCCGGATCAGCCTGCTGCGCCCTCCGTACGCAGCAGTCCCCGCGATGGCCCACAGTCCTCCGTCGCCTGGTTGAACCCCCTCCCCCCCCCGTTCTCGTACTCGACCATGCCCCCTCAGTGGCGTAGTCCACCCATTCCACCCTCCCACCTTCCACCTCAGCAATCATCGTCCACCATCTCGCATACCAGCATATCGGTCTCTCTCTCTCTCTCTCTCTCTCTCTCGAGCGGGCAGGGGAGCTGCTGCCGGGGGGCGCGCACCTTGTGATTTTTGGGTCAAAATCGTCCCGATTTCATAATGTTCGTTCGTACGTGCATCCGCGGCGCCCAGCGCGGTGCCAGCGGCTCCCATACCTCTAAGAAGGTGGGGGACGACAGTCGTGGCCTTGTTTTGGACGTTACGTGCCGCCGAAACTTGATCACCGATCACCGTCTGAATAGATAAGTCCTATACAACTCTCCAAAGGCCGGTGATCGGTGACCAGGTGATCGGCCGGTGATCATGCAGCTAGTGGGTGGTGCTCCGGCCACCGTAAGGACGGTCAGGCTACGGTCAGGAAGTAGGTTTGAGTTCACACTCTCCCACACTTAAAATCCCCGTTTGTCGATAAGCGATAACGGATAAGGCAATTCAACACGAATGGTTAGTTCCTGCTCGCTGCTCGGCCATGCGGTAGCGTCTGGTGATGCCGCCCCTGCGCGGCTCGCTCGGCAGCAACTGCGCCGCGCAGCGCAGGTTCGAGGGTCGCGGTGGGTGGGTGCACCGGAAGACGTAGCGGTCGAGAAAGCGCTCAGCGACCGCGTCTCGAGGATGGAGCCGTCGCGCGGACCTGACCGGCCGACCGGCAGTAGCAGCAGGCGCCGGAGGGCGCGGGAGGCAGCGGCGACACCTCGGGCCAGAAGCGCGAGCCCTAGGCTGGTGAGGGGGGCCGCTCATGGGTAAACGGCTCTGGGACTTAGCTAAATCGCGCATCGAAATCGGGACGATTTTGCCAGGGCACCGTCACAAGGTGTACGCCCTCTCGGGAGCGCTGTCAGCGGTGGGCCACCTCTCGGCTCACGCCGCTGACCCAAGCACCCAACTGCATGCGTGGCGGCGCCGGCGGCGCAGTCAGAGTACAGAGAAGGAGAGAGGGTGCACAGGCTGTGCGCACCGCGGCCGGGACGGTGTGAGAGGCTCGTCGCAAGCACCGCTCAGCGGCGAGGGGGAGGGCGGTGGCGGCGGCGGCGAGGCGCGAGGCGGTGGCAGCGGTGGTGCGGACGGCGGGATTGACAGGGGAGGCGGCGGCCACGAGCGGAGCGGCGGCGAGAGGGGGGCAGCGGCGAGGCGCGCCGGCGAGCGAGGCGCCCGCGCCATCAGAGGGACGCCGCCGCGAGATGGAGGGCGGCGGTGACGGAGGCGAGGGGCGAGGCGGCGGCGGCGGCGGCGGCGGCGAGAACGGCGGCACCGAGTTTGTCTCGGTGAGCGGAGCGGCGGCGGGAGGAGGAGCAGCGGCGGCGCTCGCTCGCTGTTGAGCGCTTTTGAGCCTGGGATCCCATGCCACTGCGACCGGCGTGCCCGGGAACGGAGATCGCGCGCGCGCCGCATTCACGACGCGCGCGCGATCTTCGCGGAGTCGGGTCCCCAGAGGGAAGCGGTCTTTTCGGCCGACGTCCAGCGGCGCGCAAGGAAGCAGGCGCAGCGCCGGCGGTGTCGCGCTGCATGGGCCAGCAGGGAGCAGTGGCGAGGGGCGGCGGGCTCGGACGTCCACCGAGTCGCTCCGCGCGCCAGGCGGAGCGCGCGCGCGGGCCAGGAGGCTCTCGGCAGGCTGAAGAGGACATCTGCGCTTATTGCGTGGCGGGCGGGACTCCACTTTGAGTACAGTAGCGCGAATCCGCCAGGATTCTCGCCAGCTCTGCTGAGGGGTGGTGCTGGGCTTCGTGCGGCGCTCGCCCTGCAGGCCGTAGGCCTCTGTGCCACATCATCTACTTCACATCACGAGGCGTCGAAGCTAATGAGATTCAGTCCCAATTATTGGCAGACTTGCGCCCGTCGGCGCATTCGAGTGTCTGCCCTTCATCGCTCGCACGCCTCGCCATCACCTCTCAGTCGCCTCCCGCCCACCACGCCCTGGCGACTGTGTTCTGTACTGATGTTTGATTCCACCCGAGAGGATGCTCCGGGTGCGTCTTGCGGGTATCTCCCTGTCCCTCCGCCTGTCATGTGCATGTCTGCTGCTGACTGTCGTGTGTGATGTCGGTCGTCTGGGGGGGGGGGCAAGGTGCATCGCCTCCCTCCCCTCACTCAACGCATGTCAGGCTTGGCCGCCGCACCCGCGGCGGCGAGGCTGAGGGTCTCTCTTCGGTTTGTACCGCAAGAAGGACGCATTACTCAATACAACCTCTCCCTCTCTACCTCCTCTACGCGAACAGCCGCGTCGAAGTACGGAGGGGCCCTTTGCAGAGTTCGGCACACGCCTCCCTACCGGTATAAATACCGGGGGAGGTATTTTCATTTCTCCGCTGGGTGCGCTTCTTAGCTCCCCGGCCCTGGATGTGCGGTTGATGACTGCACTCCAAGTGCTCCAAGTGCTCCAATTCTGCTGCTTTGGCACCTCCTGATATAATGCTGAGCGGGGCGGAGGCATGTGGGTGGTGGAGGCGGCGGCGGACGACGTCTACTACCTGTTCGCCCCCTGTGGTAGCTTAGCGATCAGGGAGGATCTACCTGTTCGGCCTCGAGCGCTCGAGGGCGCTAGGGACGGAGGGAGAGAGAGGGCGGAGCGAGCAGAGAGAGTCTCAGGGGGGAGAGAGGGAGAAAGTTGAGAGAGTGGAGAGGGAGGAGAGAGAGAGAGGAGAGCCTTTGAGCCTTGGCACCAGCCAGGCAGTTGAGTTGGCCCTGGCACCAGCCTTGGCAGTTGAATTGGCCTTGGCACCAGCCTTGGCGGGCGGGCACGCGGGACATGCACAGCCACAGGCGCCAAGGGGCGCAGAACCGACCTAACCCGTCGGAGGTGGCAGCGGGACTGGCGCGCACTGGCACTAACACAGGTACACCAGCGGAGAAGAATTTTACGAGGAAATTCCCACACTGGGCAAGGGTCGAGGGCAAGGGACTGGTGCGCACTGGCACTAACACAGGTACACAACGGAGAAGAATTTTACAACAAAGCTCCCTCGCACGACACTGGGTATGTTGTTAGTACACTGGGAGAAGAATTCAACGCCGACTGTGTAATCACCCCTTTACTAGTGTGCCAAACGTCCAACTGGGCGAGCGAGCATCCGGCGCAGGCCGGGCCGGGGATCACCAGCGAATGCACGGTGCAGTACCCGGGGGGGGGGGGGGGGCACATGTGACGCTCTCTAGCTGATCTCCGTCCGTTACTTCAGTGCCCGCCATTATTTCGTCAGGACTAACGTTATAAGATGAAATTTCCAGCCGCCTCTCACAGACAAGGAGTCATAGTTGCCACCGCGATCAACAAGGCCTCTCGAAACCTCTCTCTCCTTCGTCTTCCTTGCGCCCATGCCGGTCCCCTTCACCCTCGCGCACATCGACGGCCCACAACCGCCCACTCCGCAGCGGCGGCACAGCAAAGGCGAGGCCGGACCCACGGTCTTGGATAATGGCACCCGCCTGCCGCTTGTCAGCAGCGCCAAGCCACAGTGGCCACGGGGTCCCACGAACTTTTCCCTGCAGGGCGAGCAACCACGCCTCAACCGGCTGCGCCGCTTTGGACTCTTCAGCATCTAAGCTCGCCTCACTGCTTCACCATCGGACGCCATTGGCATTGCCTTGAGTGTGCGCAGTCGCACATGTGACGAGCATGGACCATGGTGATTGGTGTGTGGTGTGAGATGGTGTGGTGTAGAAAGTTTCGTGGTCTGGTTCATAGTAATTACTTCCTCGTACGCACAACTGGCGGGCCACCGAGCCGCGCCGCGTGCGGAGAACCGAGCGAATCAGCGAGAACCCGGGCAGTCACGCGTCGCATACGGTGCGATCGAAATACGCGATCGGCTTTATCCTACTATCTTTTTAAAGATGTGGACGTAAGGGCTAAGGCGCTCTACGCCGCTCGCCGCGTGTGTGGAGCTATTGCCACGCTCGCGAACCTTACCGTGTTACGCCAGTCTCACTCCAGCACACGCTGACCATGACCCACGCAGAGCGTACAGCCGCACACCGTCTGGGGACGAAAAACTAGACAGCCCCTACGTGGCCAAGGCGCCAAAGACGACAGGGGCGACGGAGCAGGTGATTAGCACTCCTAGCACGTCCATGACCACCTGGATAGTGGTGGACGCGTGTGCCGCGTCGATCTTTGCGGCCTGCAGCAGCAGCGGGAGTAGGGTGCCGAGCACAACTGACGTGCTAACGATGAGGAAGAGGGAGGCGGAGATGGCGGCGGCATCGGCGAGCCTGGAGCGCGAATGCCGGCGGTGTGAAGACAGTCCCGGCGTGCACTGCGTTCAGAGCGCCGAGCGACGCGAAAGATGGGGAGAGGTGGGGGGTGTCCCGGCATCTAGAGGGCGGCGAGCGTTGCGTCGAAGGCGACGACGCGCACAAACCCGGCGACGACGAGGATAAAGGCGAGCACCGCCGCTCGCAGCAGCTCGTCCGACACGATGCTGCGCGTGCGCTGCGTCGGCCGCGGATCAACCTCTCCGGTGGCGAGGCCGCGGATGATTCGCACTGCCGCCTGGACGTGTCGTGGACGTGTCGTGGACGTGTCGTGGGCGTGTCGTGGACGTGTCGTGGACGTGTCGTGGACGTGTCGTGGACGTGTCGTGGACGTGTCGTGGACGTGTCGTGGACGTGTCGTGGGCGTGTCGTGGGCGTGTCGTGGACGTGTCGTGGGCGTGTCGTGGACGTGTCGTGGGCGTGTCGTGGACGTGTCGTGGGCGTGTCGTGGACGTGTCGTGGGCATGTCGTGGACGTGTCGTGGGCATGTCGTGGGCATGTCGTGGACGTGTCGTGGACGTGTCGTGGGCATGTCGTGGCATGTCGTGGACGTGTCGTGGACGTGTCGTAGGCATGTCGTGCACGTGATTCGCGCGGCCGCCTGGTTGCCGGCGTTCCCGCCCGCGCCGACGAGCATCGTCATGAAGAAGATGACCGTCGGGTGCTCGAGCAGCAGAGACTCGTTCTCCGCCTGGCGTGGTTGGGCGCGGCACATCGCAACATCGCAAGAGCCGTTGCGTCAGGGTGGCTCGGTGCGAGCAGGCGGTGTGGACTGCGTCTTCAGAGGGCGGAGCAGGCTTCTCTCGCAGCGCGTTGGCTTGCTCGCGTACCCGACTTGGTGCTGATGATTCCAGGTGCGGGGTGAGAGGGGCGGCTCGAAGGTCCGACACGCCGCGCCTCGCGATGGCGGGCCTCCGTGTCGGCTCGCCCCGGGCGCGAGGAGCGTGTGTGTGCACGTGTGGGGCCACCAGCACTACCCTCCGTGGACTCACCAGCACCAGCGAAGATGCGCTCTGGCACACGAGCAGCCCGAGCAGCCACGAGGCGCGCGTGCGGAGGGAGGACGTCCAGCCGCCGCCGTCGTCGAGCAGTTCGCAGAGCCCCTCGGTCGACTCCGCACGCTCTTCCAGCTCCGCCACGCGCGCCCGCAGCAGCTCGTTCTCCTCAGCTAGCGTGGCAGCACTTTGCGCGCCATCGAGCCGGCCCGACACGCTGGCGGCGGACGGCAGCCGCAGGACCGGAGAGCGGCCCGGTGTGGCGAACGTATGGGCGATGAGAGGTAGCACCAGCATTACCAGAGGAGGTCGGTGTCGGCCGAGAGTGGCTGGCGGCGATGGCAGCCCCCACCAGCGTTTCGTTTTTTCTCACACCACGTGCCTCTGGACCTCCGTTCACGTGCACGAGCTTCTTGAGCCACCCACCCACCCACCCACCTCACGGCCCGGCTGAGGCTTGGAACCACCCACCCACCCCACCCACCTCACGGCCCGGCTGAGGCTTGGAACCACCCACCCACCCCCAGCCCCACCCACCTCACGGCCCGGCTGATGAGGCGAGGAAACCCACCCCCACCGAACGACCCACCCCCACCACCCAACCAACCGTCCCGGCCACGGGAGACACAAGCAAGGTAGCAAAGCACCCAGCCTCGCGCGCCTTATACAGCACAGCCTGACCCACAGCCGAGGGTTAGGGTTAGGGTTAGGGTTAGGGTTAGGGTTAGGGTTAGGGTCAGAGAGTTCAAGCCGTTGTGCAGCTCCTAAGAACGGGCCGCTTCGGGTCGGAATGGAGGAACCAGCGGTCCGTTGACGCGAAAGGAAAAATTAGACCGCGCCACCTGCTCACTCTGGCCCTGGTAATGCCACGCACACCGCATGGTTCTTGCGCAGCAAGATTGGGCGTCTTCTGCCGCAGTCCCTTTGATGGCACTCTCGACTTCCTGCAGCTGCACCCTGGCGGCCCGTGGCTCCGCCGTCGGCTCCGCCGCGAGCGGCGACGGTGAGGCCGCCGGGGCTCGCCTATACCGGCTAGTGTGGAGCTCTCAGTGTGGTTGCGTGTTTTACTAGTGATGCTGCACTAGGCGGCCCGTTTTTAGCAAAAACCAGATACCACATCGCGTGTGGTCATCGAAAAACCGCATGTTCGCCCGTCTGGGACCTCTTCGTACGGCTCCGAAAACCGCTCCTTAACGCCGACTACGCGGCCCGGCGGTCGATCTGCGCCTTCTCAGCGGTGGAGCGGATGTGGGCGGTACGTGCGGACCGCGTGGTGCTGCGATGGTTTGACGAGTGCGACTCCCAGCGTCGACTTTGCGACCCCACGGAGCCTCTGCTGCTTCGGGGGGGGGGGGGGGGTCTGCAGACCACCCGGCCGAACTTCAGAGTGTAGCGGTGCTCCTCAAATACCGCGGCGTGAACAGGCGGACGTCTTCACGCTCGGCTTCACGATGAACAACATCACGATTTCCAACACGGGCGGCCGCGACGCCGACGCCGTCCGCGCGACCCACGCCGGCGCGGCGGCTCCTCACGGGTGGCCCGCGCGTGAGTAGGCGGCCGCAAGGAGATGGAGTCCATGCTCGCCTTCTGCGCCCGATGGGCGAGGAACGCGTGCCTGGCCGAGCTCGAGAGCGCAAAGCACGCGAAGCGCTTCGTGCCGACTAGTCGGGGGGGGGGAAGTGCGCAAGCGAGAGAGAGAGAGCGAGAGAGGTTGGAGAAGCGCGTGTCAACTCGAACGAGATGTCCGAACTCCCACGAACGGCGCAAGAGGGCCCGCAGCGCAGCGCGAGAGGCATGCGAGGAGAGGGAGTCGTTCGCTATTTATGATGAGAAAAAACCACGCGCTGCGCCGCCGAAACAAAAGCGGCTCACACGATCATTCATAGTTTAACGATTCGCAGCATTCACACGCTATCGCGTACTGTGTAATCGTATATCAGCAGTCACCGCACGCACACACCCTGGGCCGCACCGGCGTGGGGGATAAAACATGCAAAACGCATTCACGTACTACCGGTAATGTCTTATGAGCTACGAGCTGCCAGCGCCCCGCCCCTCGCCCCGCGGCCTCCCCCGCCCGCCCCGCCCGCCCCGCCCTCCCCGCCCGCCTCGCCCGCCTCGCCCGCCGACCACCGCCGCGGCACCAGCGGGCGGAGGGTGTGGCACAGCGCGAGCGGGCGGCTGGTGGACAAACGTCGCCTGCTCTGCCACCTGTGTCCCAATTGCGGCGAGCGGCAGCGCCGGCTTGCGGCAAGCCGGGCAGTTGGTGTCGCGCTCCAGCACGCGCGGCGCACACGTCTCACAGTACAGCGCATGGCCGCACGCGAAGCGGACCGAGCGCGGCGCGTCCCAGCAGAGGTCACACTGGCGCTCCTCGGCCCGAGCCGTCTCACCCACTTCCCCCGCTGCTTCGACTAGCGCCTCCAGCCGCGGCAGTGCGTCTGCGAGCGGCATCCGCTTCGGTTTCCTCTCGTACGCCAGCCCGACCACAAGCCTCGCCAGCTCCTCGGCCTGCGCCGCCGACCAGCCCGCGTCGGCCGCCGCGATGCCCTCCTTCGCGGTGTCGGGCTCCTCCAGGGCAGCGTAGCACTCGTCGAGGAGGCCGACGGCGCCGCGGCCGGTCAGGGCGACAAGCAGAGTGATGCCGAGCGCAAAGCCGTCGGTCAGCTGCGACGCCTGCCCGCTCTGCGAAATGATCGAGTCCATGTACCCAAGCTTGCCGAAGAGGCGCTGCGTCGACAGGTGCGACACCTGTCCATTGCTGCCGGCCGTCGCGTCTGCCGCGCGCGCGAGGCCCACGTCGGCGAGGTAGCCGTTGCCGCGCTCGTCGAGCAGGATGTTGCCCGCCGAGACGTCGCGGTGCAGGATCATCGGAGAGCGCGTGTGCAAGTAATGTAGCGCGCTCGCGGCGTCGCGCAGCACGCGGAGCCGTGCGGCAGAGGAGAGCGGCGGAGGCGGCGTCTCGAAGCCGAGCATGCGGAGCCGCTGCAGTGCGGCTGGCGAGCGGTAGAGGCGGTCCTCGAGGCTGCCGCCGCGGCAGAGGGGGTAGACGAGGCACGCTCTCGCCGGCGCCAAGCAGACGCCGAGGAGAGGGAGCAGGGACCGGTGACACGCCGCGCTGAGCGTGCGCACCTCGCTCTGCAGCTCGGCGAGGCCTTGGGCGCCGACACCGACCAGCGCCGTCTTGACGGCGAACCCGCAAGCGACGCGCAGGAGCGACGGCAGCGCGTCGCAGCGGTAGACGCGCCCGAAGCCTCCCTCGCCCACCTTGCGCGCCTCGGCAAAGCCGTCCGTCGCTGCGATGAGCTCGTCGAGAGGGACGGCGGCGGGCGGCGCGGCGGCGGCGGCGAGGGTGGCGACACTCGCCGAAGCCACCGCTGCCGCCGCCGCTGCCGACGGCTCCGCTGCCGCCGCCTCTTGAGCCTCCGCCGCCGCCACGGCCGCGACGGCCGCCTCTACAGCCGCCACCTCCGCCGCCGCCTCCGCCGCCGCCTCCGTCGCCGCCCTCTCCCTCGCTTCTTCCCTCTCCCTTGCCGCCTCCTCCCTTGCCCTCGCCTCTGCCTCCTCCCTTGCCCGCGACGCCGCCTCCGCTTCCTCTGCCGCCCGCGCCGCCGCAATCTCTGCTACCACCCGATCCGCTTCCTCCGCCACTCGCGTCTCCTCAGCCGCCCGCGCCTCCTCCGCCGCCCGCGCCTCGTCCGCCGCCCGCGCCTCCTCCGCCGCCTGCCTCGCCGCCGCCTTCTCCTCCTTCTGCCGCTGCCGCTTCAGCGCCCTCGCCTCGCGGGTCCTTCGCTCCGCCAGCTCGTCGCACAGCCGCCGCGCCGCCCGCAGCGCCTCCGAGCCGTCGGCGGCTTCGACGTTCGCGTTGATCACCGCCCTGAGCGCCTCGAGATCGGCGTCGCCTCGCTCGCACGCCTCCACAGCCTCGCGCAGCGCCGCCTCGGCAGCATCGCGCGCCTCCGCCGCCTCCGCAGCCGCTGCCACCTCGCGTGCGGCCGCCGCGGCCGGTTCTGCCACCGCCGTCTCCCGCTCTGCTTCTGCTGCGGCCGACGAGTGCTCCTCGAAGGCGCGCACGCACTCGGCGAAGCCCTTCTCCTTGGCCAACTGCAGCGCCGTCTTGCCGCTCGTGCTGCGCGCCGTCGCGTCTGCGCCCGCCTGCAGCAAGCGCCGCACGACGGCGGGGTGGTTGCGGCTGGCGGCGAACATCAGCGCAGTGTAGCCTTTGCTGTTCTGCAGGTCGAGCTCCGCCCCGTGCTGCAGCAACTCGACCACCCGCTCGTGGCCGTGGGCGGCGGCGTACATCAGCGCGGTGTTGCCGCCGCTGTCCTGCAGGTTGATCTCCGCCCCACCACGTCGTATCAGCAAGTCGACCACCCGCCCATGGCCGTTGGTGGTGGCGTTCATCAGCGCGGTGCCGCCCTCGCTGCTCTGCAGGTTGACATCAGCGCCGCGCCGAATCAGCAAGTCGACCACCCGCTCGTGGCCCCGGAGGGCGGCGCCCACCAGCGCGGTGGTGCCGGTGCTGCTCTGCAGATCGATGTCCGCGCCGTGCTGCAGCAGCAGCTCGACCAGCCGCTTGTGGCCGTGGACAGCGGCTTTCATCAGCAGCGTGAGGCCGCTCGCGTCGCCTCTCTCGGAGTAACTCTCGTACGTCGCGTTGACCTTCCCGCCGCCCTCGAGCCACGCCAGCACCGCCTCCTCGTCGCCTCGCTCCGCCGCTGCCACGACCTCATCGGAGACTGCCACGACACCGCTCGACGCCTGCTCCGCCGCCACATCTGGAGATGGCGTCTTCGCGACTCTCGATCCAGCCGAGGAAGCGCCGCCGGAGGAAACGCCGCCTGCGCCTGCGCCGCCGGCTACCGCCGCAGTGGGCCGTCCCGCCACGACCGACTCCTTGACGTGCTGCCTGAAAGCCTCGACGCACTCGGCGTGGCTCTGCTCCTTGGCAAACTGCAGCGCCGTCTTGCCGTTCGCACTGCGCGCCGCCGTGTCTGCGCCCGCCCGCAGCAAGCGCCGCACGACGGCGGAGTGGTTGAAGCAGGCGGCGTGCATCAGCGCGGTGGAGCCGAGGCTGTCCCGCAGGTTGACCTCACCGCCGTGCTGCAGCAGCAAGTCGACCACCCGCTCGTGGCCGTTGAAGGCGGCGCCCATCAGCGCGGTGACGCCTTTGCTGCTCTGCAAGTTTACCTCAGCGCCGCGCCGAATCAGCAAGTCGACCACCCGCTCGTGGCCTGCGCCGGCGGCGGGCATCAGCAGCGTGATGCCGCTCACGCTGCCTCTCTTGTACGTCGCGTCAGGCCGCCCGCCACTTTCAAGCCACGCCAGCACCGCCTCCTCCTCGCCTCGCTCAGCCGCTGCCACGACCTCGTCGGCGACTGCCACGCCACCGCTCGACACCGCTGGCGACAGATTACCCGGCCGCACCCGCACGCTCTCGCCGCCGCCCTCGAGCGCCACAGCGTACCGCCCGCCCTCAAAGCTCAGCGCCTCGCCCCGCTGCCCGTTCAGCTCGGGGCGGGAGGAGAGCCCGCCGAGCTCGACTCGCTGCCCAAGCAGCGGCGCGTCGGCAGGCGACGTGCCACACACTGACTCAGGCATTTGGCGCCTCCAACGAGAATTTTACAACAAAACTCCAACGAGAAAAAGAATTCTTAACACGCCTCTCTCACAGCACACTGGCACGACAAGGGCGCAGACTGGCGCGGACTGGCACACACACAGGCTCACCACCGGAGCCGCCTAGGCGACTCCGTTAAGAACGGCAATGCACTCCGCACCACCGGTGGCAGCGTCAGTGCTAGGTGGATGCGCCGGCCGACGTGTCGCACAGGGACCGCCCAACTATGGCTCAAATCTTGCTTGGGGACGGCTCGATCGACCCGTGGACCCGCGCCGAGCGGGCTGAGGCGCGGCCATTTGCCGAGCACGTTGCTACTGAGAGGCAAGCTCTTCACAGTTCTGGCTGTGAGTAAAGCCGTAGGAGCGAGCGGCCAAGCTTAGCGGCAAGGCACAGCGAGGGCGGAATCGCTGCTAGGTTCTGACGCCTCAGAACAAGTCCTCGCTGCCATACTTCAGGCGCGACTTGCGGCGGCGGGTCCCCTCCGATGAGGTGTCTTTCTTGTCTACACGGCTATCCAGCTCGCTGCACGGGGGCGAGTTTTGGAGGTGTGGGCTCGGCGACACCGCGCAGAACCCCGCCGTGGCAGAAGCGGCTCCAGTCGCAGTCCTCCAGACGCTGGCTGTCTTCAGCTTATCCCAAGGCTCACAAAAGACATACGGCGCGACCCAATCAGAGTCTGAGTCAGCGTCTCTAGCTAGCTGGGAGCTGGGTTCAGCAGCCTCGCGATGCGGTTCTGCCTAGACCGGACGCGGAACCATCCACATCATCACTGGCTCGCGGCAGTAAGGGCACTCTCGCATCAGCTCAGAGCATGGCCCGCAAGCACACAGGTGCCCGCACGGAACCGCAGCATGCGACTTGACTCTCGCGAAACACACGATGCACGTGGTCTCGCCCCCCATCGTGGACTCGGGGGCAGCCGGCCGCCCCGTGTCGAGGCCGGCGTCGGCTAGTGAGACGGCAGCAAGCGGCTCGGTGACTGGCAGATGCTGCTCCGCCGCCTCTCCCGCCTCCGGCTCGATCAAGCGCTCGATTGCGCCGACCCGCTCCTCGAGGCTGCCCTCGGTCGCCGCGCCGAGGCTCGCCTCCAGCCGATCGACACGCCGCGGCAAGTCCCCGCCGCCGCCGGTCGACTCACTGCTCACCGCCTCCTCGCACCGCGACACCCGACGCGCCAGCGCCTCCTCCGCATCCACCTCTGACCGGAGCAGCGCCTCTGCCAGCTCCGCATCCTCGCGCAGCGCCGCCCGCTCTGCCGCACCCGCTAGCTCTGCCGCCTCCCGCTCCGCCCGCCTCGCCGCCTCCTGCTCAGCAGCCAGCTGCGCCGCCCTCTCCTCCTGTGCGCGAACCTCTGCCGCAGCCCGCGCCCTCCGCTCCTCCTCGAGCGCGAAAGCAGACGGCGCCTTCTTGGCCTTATTGTTCTTCGCCTTGGCGTCCTTCTTGGCCGCCGTTGCCTCCGCCGCCTTTGCGCGCCGCCTCGCCTTCTCCTCCTCCGCCCTCCTGTCCGCAGCCTCCTTCTCGCGCCGCGCTGCCTCTGCCTGAGCGGCTTTGCGCGCCGCCGCGGCCGCCCGCTGCTCCTCTCGCTGCGCCTCCTCCGCCGCAAGCCTCTCCGCCTCCCTCGCCCGCAGCGTCTCCTCTGCTGCCGCGCGCTCAGCGGCCAGCTTCGCCTCCGCCTCCGCCGCAATGGCTCGCCTCTGCTCCTCCAGCGCCGCCGCGTCCGCCGCTCGCCGCGCCTCGTCCGCCGCTCGCTCTGCTTCGCGCTGTCGTGCCGCCTGCTCGCGCTCTCGCGCCGCCGCCGCCTCCTCCCGCTCGCGCTGCTCGCGCCGCCTCTTGGCCTCTAGCGCCTTCTCGGCCGCCTTCTCAGCCGCCTGCGCCTCCCTCAGCGCCGCTGCGTGCTCTGTGAGAGCGCGCACGCACCCGGCGTGGTCCGTTTCAGGAGCACTGGCGGCGTCGGCAGTAGCTAGCACCTTGGCCGCCTTCTCCTTGGCGATCTCCAGCGCGGACCAGCCGTCTGCAGAGCGAGCCTTTGTATCCGCGCCAGCCCGAAGCAAGCGATGCACGACGGCGGGGTGGCCTTGGAGGGCGGCGATCATCAGCGCTTTGCCGCCGTCGCTGTTCCGCTGGTTGACCTCAGCGCCGTGCCGTATCAGCAAGTCGACCACCCGCTCGTGGCCGCTGTGGGCGGCGAGCATCAGCGCGGTGCCGCCGTCGCTGCTCTGCAGGTTGATCTCAGCACCGTGCCGTATCAGCAGGTCGACCACCCGCTCGTGACCGTGGTGGGCGGCGAGCATCAACGCGGTGCAGCCGACGCTGTCCTGCAGGTTGACCTCAGCACCGTGCCGAATCAGCAGCTCGACCACCCGCTCGTGGCCTCTGACGGCGGCGTCCATCAGCGCGGTGTCGCCGCGGCTGTTCTGCAGGTTGACATCCGCCCCACGCCGGAGCAGCAGCTCGACCATCCGCTCGTGGCCTTTGGAGGCGGCGCCCATCAGCAGCGTGATGCCGCTCAAGCCGCCTCTCTCGTACGTCGCGTTGACCCGCCCGCCGCCCTCGAGCCACGCCAGCACCGCCTCCTCCTCGCCACGCTCCGCCGCCAGCACGGCCGCGTCGGAGCAGCTCAGGGATCCTGCGCCGGTGCTAAGCTCGCGTGCACTCGGCGGGCCGCCAAGCGCGCGTGCACTCACCATCACTGGGTTCCAACTTTTTGGGCAGGGGGGCCCGCGACGATACGCCCGGGCATGGCTGGCAGGCTGGCCTGTGCACGGGGAAGCCGGGTTCGAGTCGTCAAACAGCGGAGGCGTGCCGAGGCCCGAGCCCGAGGGGACCCGGAGGGAGTAAGTCGCAAGCACGCGGCGAGAGTGCCATGCGCAAGCACACGGCGCGAGAGACGCCGGCGTGACTGCCACGTGCCCAAACATGTCACGGGGCGCCAGCGTGTCCGCCTCCACCCGCGTGGACCGCCTCGTGTCCGCCTCGGCGCCGCGGTCCATCGCCACGTCGTCTCGTTTCCTCTCATCGCAGCCGCTGAAATAGTCAGTCGAACCTTTAGAATTCTCTGGTGGGTGCAACACACGTAGTGTGGTATTGACCAAGGGTGGTGCTCACGCGAATAAAGGGAGTCGACGCGATGTGCAAAGCATACAAGAAGGGGAGAAAGAAGAGCAGAGTGTGGGTGTTTCGTCTTTCAACCTTTCTATTTTTCTTTGTTATGCGCGAAAGACTGCTGATGTGTTATGCGGCAGCGAGAGCGGTGACGTGATACGTTGCCGTAATTTCAACGCATAGATAAAGAGCCGCACCCAGTCATCCGGCGGGCCAGGCAGACAATAATGAAGGCAGTCGCCCTTCCCCTGGTGGCGATCGCGCCGTCCGATGGTGAAGTTGTAGATGTCCACAATCGACACGCGCGGGCGAGCCACTTTGCGCAGCACCGCAACCGCCAGACTATTCTGTGAGGCGAATTCATCCCAGTGGTATGGCAGCGGGCTGTTGACAAAGCGTTCTGTCGAGGGTGTTGGGGTCGTGAATCGATCGCAGCCAGGGTGACCGGGGAGGGTGGTTCGCCAAAAAGCAGCGACGTGAGGATAGGAGCTCAGTCGACTGGCAAAAGTTGTGGTCTCGATGAGAAGTGTGGCAGGATCGACGTAGTGACTGCCGCGATTAAAGAGAGCAACGTCTGATCGCGAGATGATGTCCCAAAACGAAGAGCAATACTCGCACGGTCCCTTCTGGATGTCCCCTTTCTCAATAAGCCGGTCGTTGCGAATGTATCGGAGGCGAACTCGTCCTCGGCAGAGCATGGCCGACACCACTGGCCGTCGTCGATTGCATTGATCTGACTCTGAGGGTTGACTCGAATTGTCGCCGTAGGTCAGGACGAGGGAGGCGAACATTTGAAAGTTTAAGCTGTCGCCGACTATGGTAATGTTGGTGACCTTGTTCCGCGCCGCAATGTCACCGCACAATGAGAGGGAGTAGATGTCAGACACGGCATGCTCACAGTTTGGCGCGTGTGATCTCCACAGCCAATTACCGTATTGCCGCCTGCTGCCGTGCCGGTCACACGAACTCTGCCAAGCGTCCATCGGCCTGTATGGCCGTTCGTGAAAATGCGGGCCTTCAATCCACTCTCCGCTTTGGAAGCAGGCCAGTGGTGCCGTGCGCACAGAGGGTGCAACCTCAAGCACAGAGGGTGCAGCCGCAGGCGCTGGAGCATCGCCTCGCGGGCAGCGGTAGCGCGCCAGCCAGTCGGTCGGGGCGCGGACGACGCTTCCAGACGCAGTGAAGCACTCCCGGCGGGGCTTGCGGGCAGGCACAGACATAGAAGAAGAAGAGTTGGTTTTCAAAAATCTCTCTCTCAGACATACGCGCGCGGCAAAATAGCACAAGGTTCGGCGTCGGACAAACAAATTCCTGTCGGCGCTTACTTCTCTGACACGCTGCGCTGCACGGAGCAGGGTTTGTCTTCGGCTCACGCCAGGGCGCTCGTAGGCTCGTTGCTCCTCCGTCTCTTTGTACAACTGTATCTTCCATACTGCATTTAGAGAGATTTTTTGTTCTGCATTTATCAGAAGACTTTGTTTGGAAGGACGAAGAAAGAAAGAAAAGAAAGCACGTGACAGCGTTCCGTGATTCTTCTTCGAGTCCGCGCCCTTGTCGTGCCAAAAAAAAAGGACCGCTCGCAGAGGACCATTGGGTTTGTACTATTAACAACGAAGGCGCTCTCAAAAAAAAAAAATCGAGAAAGAGTCCTTCTTCCAGGTCTAAGAATCTTCCAGGTCACAGCAAATGCAGCGTTGTCTGTCGTCCTCCACACCGCTGTGGCATCACGTCCGCTAGCTAGTACCAATATGCTGTCCCTCATTGCCTGGCTCCCCTCCTGGCAGAGCACGCAGCCTCGAGCCGGCCGTTTGGTCGGTCCGCTCGCCTCCGAAGCCGCTGCTGCGCCACCGTCTGTGCTCATCTCTGAGGCCGAGGTAGCCGACCTCGAGCCTGCCGTCGCCCTGACCGTGCGCGCCTTCTTCGGCACGCTCGGCCGCGAGCGAGGCTTCAATAACGCGCGCGCAATCGCGTTTTCCCAGCTCTCGGCCGAACAGGCTGCCAGTCTCCGCGCGATAATCTGCTCTGGCACCGCCCTCAAGGCCACGGCGCCAGACGGGAGGCGGCGCCGCATCGGCGGCTCATCTCGATGTACATCGACAGCAACTGTTCGTCTACCTGCTAGGCTGGTCGGGTTTGTCGCCGCCACGTCCGCCAACGGTGGCCGAGCGCTGCTACTGACAAACCTCGCAGTCGCACCAGCCGAGCGGCGCCACCGTCGCCTCGGCCGCCAACGGAGAGAGGGTTCCGAACGGTGTGTGTTCACGAGTGTGGCTGTGAGCAGGCGGCGGCGCCTCGGCCGCCGGCTGGTGGAGAGGGTACTCGAATCGGCGGGATGCAGGCCGTTGCTCGAGGTGGAGACGGGGCGAGATTGCCCGAGATGACCCGAGGTTGCCCGAGATCAGGCCGACCCTGCTCGAGGTGGAGAAGAGCAATCGCGCGGCCGTCGGCTTGTACGAGGCGAGTGCGGCGTGGCAGGGGGCGGGCGGTCCACAGCCGCTTTTTGATCCCCTGCCCGCCAGCTTGTCATTCGCAGGCGTGCTGCTAGCTCCATACCTTCGTCCCGCTAGAGCTCCAAGCCGTGTGTCTCGCGCCCTGCGGCGGGGGGGAGCGGAACCTCTTCCCAAGAGCACCACTCTCCAAGCCGTTGGGTCCACACCTTCATCCCGCTCACTAGCCTGGCGTCGAGTCTGGGTGCTTGTCGCCTACTACAACTACTGCTCGCAGGCAGCTGGCGGAGTGTCTTGTGAGAGTTGTGTGTGTCTGCGTGTCGCTCCAATGTGACCGTCATCTCCTGTCTCGCGTCCACCCATACCGACCTGGCGTCCCAGTCCGAGCCTCTGGCTGCTCCTCACCTCATTCCCTACCTCCCTAGACGTGCGGCAACAACAGACACTTATGGCTCTCTGATGCCCAATGCGTGCACTCGTCCCTCTCTCTGTATGTGTGGGTTCGTGTGTGCGGGGGCCCTCCTTGTCTCTGCCTAGACAGTGTGAGGTAACACCTACCTACCTACCTACCTACCTACCTAGGCGTGCGGCTTCGAGGTGGCGGCGGAGAAGGAGGGCAGCCCGGCGCTAGATGCTTGACAGCCCTTCTCCCGATGCCACTCCGCTCGATGCCACTCCTTTTGGATGCCGCTAGATGCGCCTTCTCTTAGCAGATGCCACGCCTCGAAGCTGCAGCTGCATTCGACACTGCGCGACCCCGTCTCCGCACCCTCAGCTGCTCCCCGCGTCTCCACCGGCAGCCAGTACCGACGCACACTCAACTCTTCGTCCCTCAGCTCACGTGCTCTCCCACGCAGGCAGCCGGTATGCGGTCGACTGGTGGCGCGGTCGCGTCTTTGCGGCGACGTCTCTCCTCGTCATGCGCCATGGAGGCAAGCCGGGGCGCGGCGAGGGCGGAGGGGCGGAGGCGGAGGCAAGAGGCGCGGTTCGCGCGGAGGCCTCGGGGGTGGTGGACAGTGCCGCAGAGGCGGGCGGCGCCGCGACGTGTGACGTTGACAACCCGACCGGCTTGTGCGTTGACAAGGGCTCCTAGGAGGCCGCGCCGAGATGTGCGTCCGATGAGTGACAGTGATGACATGTACAAAAAAGCAAAGGGGGAACGGCGGCAGAAGGTGCGCGGTGCTCGGCCCTCTCGCCGCAGCGTATCCGCAACGGATTAGGTAGGTGTTGCAGGAGCGGTAGAGGGTGTGGACCGTGAGAAAACAAAATCCGGGGCCGCGACCCACCTCGCCACAGACGGTCCCGCGCCTCGCCGCTATGACGGGGACACACCCCGCACCGTCCGCTGTGTCCCCGTCTTTGTCCGGAGTGAATACTCCAACGCGCTCGTCGGTGACGGTGTCCCCCGATTTCGCCGCGCTCGGCGAACCTCGACAGCGCTTTCGGTGGCATGCAGCTCTTTGCGCCTGAAGCCTGGAGTGAAGCTCCTCTGCTGCTCACACACTCTGCACAGATGGCACAGCCCACTGTGCGGCTGCCACAGCTGTCACAGCGATGGGCTCGCCCTCACTGGCCCTCAGTCAGTTGTGCTGCGGCTTGTGTGAGCGACACTGCTCGGCGACTGCCGGCACACTGTGAGACCATGGGTGTGAGGTAAAACCACGCTACCAGCGCTTGGTCACATCAGCCCTGAGGTCAGATCCTTCTCCTCTGTTGATGGTAACACTTGTCTACTCGCTGGAGCCGAGCAGGAGGGCTTGGCGCACAACCCCTGTTCAACTCAGGGTCCACACCCCGTATACAGCGGAGACCGGAGTGCGGAGAAGCGGAGCTGGGCGCTGTGCGCGCAAAAGCAGCCACGCGGCGGCAGGGGTTTCTGCTTTCTCCTGCCGGGGAGTCGTGGAATGCAGTTTCTAAAACGATACATCACGCCACAGATAGAAGCGCAAACAGGACAAGATACACACAACTACAACAATAATCAAGGGAAAGAGACTCTCAGCACTCCGGTGCGAGACTACAAAGAGCGGCTCTCGGTGAAACCGAAGTAAGCATGCGAGGGATACACACTCCGCGTACAGGCTCAGACGAACTGGCGCTCGTCGGGCGAGGGAAGCGAATCGCCGCGCCGCGAGGGACGCACCAGCGGCTCCCCAGTCAGCTCCGTGTGTAACTCTGGCGGCCTCGGAGACGAAGGCATCACCGCGTCAACCCCACGATCGCCGCCGCCGCCCCGTGCAAAAGCCGGCGCTGCGATCCGCGGCGAAGGCGGGCCCATGCCGCCGCCACCGCCACAAAAAGCGCCAAGCCTAGTCCCGGCACCCGTGAGGGAGAAGGCGTCGCGCGACGCCGAGCGGGCAGCACACTTGTACGAGCTCTCTGCGAAGTCCGTGTCCTCCTCTCCCTCGAGCGCCTGCGCGAGATGCGACTGCGCCGGCTCTACCCCTGCGCGCGGCAGCCGCGAGGCGAGCGCTTCTCCCGGGAGCCACCGCTCGAGCACGCACGAGCCTCCTCCGCCGCAAAGGGGCGAAAAGATAGCGAGCAAGTCGGACTGCCGCCGCCGCACAACCGCCTCGTCGTCGGCGCTCAAAGCACGCGTCGGCGGGGCGCGCAAGTCGGCATCCTTGAGGTGGACCTGCGGGGAGACATTGCTCGAGATATTGGAGAACTCGCTCTGTTGATCTCTAGGCCATACTAGCGGACCTCAAAGAGGATAGCCGAAGCGTACTGGTGCGAGCGAAAGTCGAGGACCTGAGGCAACGTGCGGAGGACCACTGGGTAAGGGCCGAGCTATTCCCTGTTGCATCAAGCTGGATCCCCGCGCAGATCCCAAGTGCAAAGGGACGCTGCACGCGCGCCTCGAGGCCGTGCTGCCGAATCAGATCCATCAGCCGCACGCTCAGCCCCCACGCTGGTGGCGCCGACGTGCGCAGCCGAAAGAAGACGGGCGCTGTTGACACGTCCACCACCGGCCCCGCGCGCGCGCCAGCTCGTCGCCCCCCCTTGATGGCGTCGAGGATGGCGCGCTCTTTCCGCCTCTGCGAGCCGCGGAGGGCGGCGCGCGCGAGCACCGGCGCAATCACCACCGACGCGAGGACCGCGAGCAGCAGCGCGGCGAAGGTCGTCTGGTCGAGCAGGCCGCTGTTGAGCGAGGCGGTCGCGACGATGAAAGCGAACTCACCCCACGCGGCCATGGTGAGGCCGACCGTTAACACATTGGCGCGCGATGCAGGTACCACCAGCAAGCCCGACGCGAGCTTGCCGAGGCCGGCGCAGCTGGGGAAGGAGCGGGGAGGGGGGTGGGGGGAGGGGGTGAAGCGGGTGGGCGTGGCGACGTGATTCGGTCGTGCGATCGAGCTCCGCAGCACCTGAAAAGTGCGGCACGGCCAAAGACGGTGGCGGAAGCAAAGGAGCGGACCGGGACGATGAATCCGCACGTGGCAGCGAAGAAGAGCTTGACGAGCCACGACTGTAGCCGCTTGACCTGCTTGATCCACGCGTCGTGCAGCCGCGGGATGGTGCAGCAGGAAAGCCCGGCCAGAAAAGCGCCGAGCAAATGACTGGACCCGAGCGAATGCGCCTAGAGGGGGCGTGGCACGTCGCGGCGTACGTCTCGAAGGCTCTCCAGCTCTCCAGCGGAGCAAAGGCGCGCGCCAGAGGCACAAAGACAGCCGTGACTAGCAGCAGCAGCAACAGCAGCGCCCGCTCCTCGGCGGCACGGCCCCCGCTCCGCAGCTGCGCAGGAGCGACCCGCTCGGCGAGCCGGACAAGACGCGGGGTCCCATGCTTTGCGATGACCACCGCCGCCGCCATCAGCCCAACCGAGGCGACCGCCGGCGCGACCATCGATGCGGGCGAGGCGTCCGAACCGAGCGCCTGCAGCAGAGTGAGCAGCAGCAGCGCGATCACGTCGTCCAGCACGGCGGAGGCGATGATCAGCTGGCCAACCGGCGTGTTGAGCGCGTCCGCGGCGCGGAGCACGTTGAGCGCGATGCCGATGGAGGAGGGCGCAAGCGTGCACCCCGCGGCGAGGCTGGCGAGAGGGTCGAGCCTACCCGGTGGGAGCCGGCGGTCAAAGGTAGCGTTTTCGCGTGCGGTGCTGCAGCCCTGGCGTGGCCATGCGCGTCTGAACACATCTCGACTAGGAGGCGGGGCTCACGCGGCGTGAGCGCAGCTGTCCATCGCACTGCGGACCACCGGGAGGACACGGGGATGCTTGCCTCTCACAGTTACAGGGCTAGGATTTGGCATCTGTGCGGTCGAGCCCGAGCACGGCGCGGCCAAGCCCGGCGGCGATGCACACGGGCAGGCAGGTGCCACACAGGGCGATTGCGACACCGCGCGGGCCGACGGTGCGCATCATTGGCAGGTCGGCGTCGAGGCCCGCCTCGAGCACCTGCGCCGGCATGCGCAGACGCATGAGATTCCGTCGGTGGCTGTGTCGCAGCGCTCTCTGTGCGCTGCGGGTGGACAGGAGTTCAGAGCTCGCCGCAGCCGCCTTCTGGATTCCGATGCCTGGCGTCCACTGGGAGCGGCGCACGGCGGAGGGGCGGCAGCGGCGCACCAACAGCAGCAGTCCGACTTCTCCGTAGAGCATGAGCGCTTCGGCGAGCGGAACAACGTCGAGGAGTGGCGGCCCCATCACAAGGCCCACGGCAAGCTCGCCCACCAGCGACGGCATCCGCATACCCGCCGCCGCCTTGCCCCCCACCCACACGGCAATCAGGAAGAGGAACGACATGACCACGTCGTCAAACTCGACCTGAGAGTGGTGGAGTGCACGCGACGTGAGGGACTGGCAAGACTCGCGGCGTCCGCCCTTGCGGTGGTGCAAGGGCTTTTGCTCGGTGAGCGGGCTTCAGCTGTCAGGCTAGGGTTGGGAGGGGCGCAGTACGGGGTCATGCCGAACCTCAAGGCCGTGTGCATGCTCAAAGCCAGCGTCGACGTCGGCTGTGTCTGCCGAGGTTGCTGAGAGGGCCCGGGCCATGCCTCGCGCCAACATTGTGGCCCTCGCCTCGCGTGCCAAGCCGGGGAACACGGGCGGAGACGACGACGGGCTAAACGGGCTAAAACCGCGGCCGGCCTACTTTGTGCCGTTCACGTGAAGGGGCGAGCGTGGTCTGGCTGAGTGACCGCGTTACGGCGATTCCCGCGGGTTTACGGGGGGCGAAACCCGGGGTGGACTTTACTGGGAGAGAGAGAGTAAGCTAAAAGTACGTACTGGAATATATTCTGGGCACTGGGGACATATCCGCGTCGATATTCTGGGGGACATATCCCAGTACAGATCCGATACGGGGGTGCCCCCCGCCCCCCGGACACCACTGACCACAGACCAGAACTATAGAAAGGGGAAAAGGAGGGGGTGAAAAGGAACAGTCGCTCCCGCCCGTGCGATCTTTGTGCACAAGGTTCTTTGTCGAGAGGATGGCGCGGTTCACCCCTCTCAATGTACACAGGAAAATACAACACATTGGGCGCATCACACGTGCGTAACTGTCGACACAGCGCTGGCGACGTGGCGTGACCCTCAACTTTGCATGCCAGCTTCCTTCCCCACCGGCCCTCTCGCCTACTCGCCCCGTCGGTGTCCCTGGCCCGTAATTGGATCGTCGATGGTGCCGCAGAGCCGGCGCGTGATGTACTCGAAGGCGTTGATCGGCGCGTACCGGGGCGGGTTGCCCTCGCCGCTGCAGCCGGGCAGGCACTGCACGAGCGTCGCCTTGTTCGGGTTGCAAAAGAAGGCAATCGAGTAGCGCGCGGGCACCTCCTCGCCCTCGCGGCGCGGGTCGCAGAGCACCTGTGCTCACACAGATCAGAGAGCAGATTGGCCGAGAGGAGCCGAGAGTGGCCGCGAGGAGCCGAGATTGGCCGAGAGGAGCCCGAGAGTAGCCGAGAGGCCGAGAGTGGCCGAGAGAGTGGCCGAGAGGAGCCGAGAGTGGGAGAGAGTGGCCGAGGGCCACAGAGCACCCGGTGCGGCGTCGAGCGCAGCACATCGTTCGACCAGCGCATCATGCAGTCTGCGATGTTGACGATGATGCCTCCCGCCACCGGCGGAACGAACACCCACTCTCCGTCCTTGCGGCACGCCTCGAGCCCGCCCTGGTCCGCCCACTGGGTGAGCAGCGTGATGGAGCCTACTCCACGCGTGAGGCGTCGTCACTCGGCCCTTAGGCGCCGCACCGCCGGGTCGAGCAGCGTCTGTTCGGGAGGGAGGCAGGGAGGGAGGGAGGGAGGGAGGGAGGGAGGGAGGGAGGGAGGGAGGGAGGGAGGCAGGGAGGGAGGGAGGGAGGGAGGGAGGCAGGAAGGGAGGGAG